CTCCAGCCTGGGCGACAGAGCGAGACTCCGTCTCAAAAAAAAAAAAAAAAAGAGTTTTGCAGAAAAGGCCAGGCGTGGTGGCTCACACCTGTAATCCCAGCACTTTGGGAGGCCGAGGTGGGCGGATCACTTGAGGCCAGGAGTTCGAGACCAGCCTGGCCAACATGTCAAAACCCTGTCTTTACTAAAATTACAAAAATTAGCTGGGCATGGTGGCACATATCTGTTAATTCCAGCTACTCGGGAGGCTGAGGCAGGAGAATCGCTTGAACCCAGGAGGCAGAGGTTGCAGTGAGCCAAGATCACGCCACTGCATTCCATGCATTCCAGCCTGGGTGACAGGGAGACCTTGTCTCAAAAAAAAAAAGGTTTTGCAGAAGACAAAACTGCTGCCACCCTTCATTAAATTTTAAGAAAATGTTCATTAAAAAATGTTATTTATGCTAACATGGAATAGGTTTGTTACTATCATCTCAAACAATAATTTAATTTATCATGTGGTGGCCGGGCTCACGCCTGTAACCCCAGCACTTTGGGAGGCCGAGGCGGGCAGTTCACGAGGTCGAGATCAAGACCATCCTGGCTAACATGGGGAAACACCGTCTCTACTAAAAATACAAAAAATTAGCTGGGCGAGGTGGCAGGTGCCTAGAGTCCCAGCTACTCAGGAGGCTGAGGCAGGAGAATGGCGTGAACCCGGGAGGCAGAGCTTGCAGTAGCCGAGATAGCACCACTGCACTCCAGCCTGGGCGACAGAGCGAGACTCCGTCTCAAAAAAAATAAAAAATAAATTAATTTATCATGGGGTACATTTACAGATATGACTCACATAAACAAAAGCTCTTTGAGATCCCCAACCCTTTGCAGGTATATAAAAGGATGGGATAGCTACCATCCCATGCCACAGACAGGGTCCCACCAAAGCACTCAGGATCCCACTGATGTCCTAAGCAAGAGAGCACAGGAGGTAGGGCTGGGGCTGGGGCAGGTGGCTACACAGTCACCCACCCGGCTGCCCACCAGCAACCCAGGCCTATCTCAACACCTGGAATGCCAGTTTTCTTTCTTTTTCTTATTTTTTTTTTTAGACAGAGTTTTGCTCTTGTTGCCCAGGCTGGAGTGCTGTGGCACAATCTCAGCTCACTGCAACCTCCGCCTCCCAGGTTCAAGCGATTGTCCTGCCTCAGCCTCCTGAGTAGCTGTGATTACAGGTGCCCGCCACCACACCCAGCTAATTTTGTGTATTTTTAGTAGAGACGGGGTTTCATCATGTTGGCCAGGCTGGTCTCGAACTCCTGACCTCAGGTGATCCACCCCCTCAGCCTCCCAAAGTGCAGGGATTACAGGTGTGAGCCACTGCGCCTGGTCGGAATGCTAGTTTTCTCTTCAGTGTGAAGGAGACACACAGGCTTCCCCCATCACAGGTGCAGGGCTGGTCTGCAGCCTGCAGCCTCCTGCTCCCAGTGGACGGCGACTATGAACCGTCTGGCAGGCATGCCCTACACTCCCACCCCATCCCAGGCCTTTCAGAACAAGAACTCAGTGCCCCCTCCTGCAGCATCTCTCAATGGAAACATGGAATTGTATCTGCCATCTGACTACAACAGGCTGTCTTTGTGTTTTAATCTTGCTGGAAAAGTCATTCCCTCCATCCCCACATCACTCATGGATTATCTCCTGAATCACCACATGGTCTATGTATGCTGTTTCTAAGAGGTCCAGCCCATACAAGTGAGCCCTTCCTCTATGGGTCCACGATTCCATTACTTCTAGGAATGTTTCCTTCAATTATTTCATCCTGGTTAAGTATTGTCTCCCCAGGTATGGGCAGATGGTGTTTCAAAGATCTTCTGTATCTACAAGCCCCAGCTCCCTGCAACATTCCAATAAACGCGTTCCCACTGACTGAAGACTGAGCCTGCCTGCAAGTCCACAGACACATTCTGGGCCCTGAGGGATGCTGACAACCTGCATACAGCAGGGCGCCATCTGTCCCCGCAGGGGTCAGGCCCAGGTGCAGCCAGCACCTGGGGGGGCTCATGGGATCCCTACCCAGTAAACCCCCAGAAATGCCCTGCAGTGAACGGACACACTGCTGCGTTCTCCATCAGATGAAGGCCTATGAGCCAGCTACTCACAGAGCCTCTCAGGGAGCAAACGTACGCAAAGGCAGGCAGGACCACAAAGCCAATGAGCTTCCGGAACCAGGCATCCTGCAGCGCAGGGGCAGCGTCCTCCAGGGGCGACGTGTCGTCCCATACCAGCTGGATCAGCTGGCAGTCGGGCTCCCAGAAGGGCTCCTCAAACTCCAGGAAGATTTTATTATTGGTCCCGAAGCCTATCTTCCTGATGGCTTCTGCCTTCTCAGCCGGCAGTGGAGGGTCAAAGAA